CCCCCAAGGTGTGTGTGTGTGTGTGTGTGTGTGTGTGTGTGTGTGTGTGTGTGTGTGTGTGTGTGTGTGTGTACAGAAATGTCACAGTGTGATACTGCAAATGAGTGGCACGATGAAGCAAAATGAGAACGCAAAATGAGAATTGCTATAATAAATAAAAGTGCATTGTCTACAAGTGAGCAACACCATTTAGATTTAGATTTAGGACATAAACATTTATACGTAGATTTAAGATTCAGATTTAACATTTTACATTTAGATTTTAACACTTAAAATTAAGATTGAGATTGAAAATTTGAATTAAGATTTTATTTATATTTAAGATTTAGATTATTTTAGAGTTCTACTTCCATTTAAGATTTAGATTACATTTATCTTTAACACATGATTTTGATTTAAGATTCAAATTTACCATTTGAATTCAGATTTTTACATTTAAGATTCAGATTATATTTAGATTTAACACTCACGATTTTTAGTGATGTTTGACTTGGATTCATTTTTAAGATTAAGACTTTACATATAGTTTTAATGCTTAATATTCAAATTACATTTAGATGTAATCAAGATTTTGATTTCAGATTCAGATTTAAAATTTGCATTCAGATTTATGATTTTAGATTTTATTTTTTGAATTTTGATTTTTTTTTTTTAAGATTTGTACTTGCATTCGAGATGTAAATTTAATATTTTGCTTTAAGAGTTTTTTTTTTTTAAATCACCACTTGGGTGTATTTTAATATTTAACATTTTTAATAAAATAAAAAATTACACTGTAGATAAAATTGCAGTTTAGATAATGATTTTAATATAATTTTTTCACAAATTGTTATTTTACTGTTCAAAACATACAAAAAAAAAACAGACAGTTGAAAAAAAAAAACAGTTTTTTGTTGCTAAAATTGGTCCGTTTTTGTTGTTAACACTGGAGACGCCTTTTTGCAATACACAACATTTAGCGCCCCCATACTTACCTGAAATGTAGAAATGTGAGAGGATTTCCCAGCTCACCCGCACACTTTAACACATGCCATTTCATTTACGTATTTTTAGCGGCAACATTAAGCATACCTTGCTGCACAGTTTGAAGCCTTGTCAAAATTAAAACCGTACTATTTAATTTCACACAGATGCTGCTGCTCTCCGAGTTCCAAAGTTCTGTGTTTGTGGTTGTGTGTTTGTGTGTGTCTGCCATGCTGAGCCAGGGTGTTTGCTGTCTGATTGCTATGAGTAGTGACTGGTCCCTCCCAAACTAGGTCAGCAATCAGAGCCCCCGCGCCACACTACGGTCGGTATGTTAAACATGTGTGTATGTACCATGTGTGTGTGTCACACCATAGAGTCTGTGTTTATACCTGTGAATGTGTTCGTTTGAATTCCCTGCTCTATTTCAATTTCTGCATGTGTCGGTTTGATCTGAGCAATCTGTGTGTGTGTTTGTGTGTGTGTGTGTGTGTGTGTGTGCATGCTTATATTCTCCTGATAAAGATCACACTGTAGGTCTCAGGTTAATGGGATATAGATGGTTTAACACAGTGATTCATTAACCTTCTGGCATCTGCAGCTGCAGTTAAAGTCATTAAGTGCATAAAAACACACCTATACATGAAAACACAAGCAAACCCACACCTGGCCTTGTGTAAATGTAGAACTATTCAAAGTGAGTCTTACAAACATATGATCTTCATAAAACCCTTAAAAATAAAACCCTGTGGTCAGTGTGTTTATTTCATCACATGAAGATTTAATTTCGTTGTACGTTACAAAACTTTCCACACAGCTAACTATATGCTTGCAGTGACATCAGACATAGCACACATGCACACACACAAAGCAGCAGCAGGGTTGAATAAAGGCTCTTTTGATGGATGGACGTTTGAGCAGAGGGAGGGAGATTACGGTGTGAGGGATTGTGGGAATTCTCCTCAGCAGCTGTTCACTAGAGACAGGGAGAGAGAAGATGAAGGGATTGAGGGATGGATGGCGAGAATGGAGTGAGGGAAAGAGAATGGAGAAATTGGATGGTTATGTAGGTGAAGGCTCTGAGGAGTAGAAATGGAAATAATATTGAAAATAAACACACACACACTGGCTACACTCACACAGCAGCACAATACAGTTGTTAGCTTTGTTTTAAAGCTACCGTTCATAAGTTTGGGGTTGGTAAGATTTTTGTTTTTGAAAATCTCTTATGCTTACCATTACCAATGCTCCAACTGTTTTTTTCATTTGAATTAATTTTAGATTGTAATTTATTCCTGGGCGGCAAAGCTGAATTTTCAGCAGTGTTACAGTCTTCAGTGCCACATGATCCTTCAGAAATCTTATTATTATCAATGTTGGAAACAGTTGTGCTGATTAATATTTTAGTGGAAACCATTCAACTTTTTTTTCAGGATTCTCTAATAAACGCCCAGTTCAAAAGAACAGCATTTATTTATTTTTAAATAGAAATCTTTTGTAATATTGTAAATGTCTTTACTGTCACTTTTGATCTATTCAATCCATCCTTGCTGAATAAAAGTACTGATTTTAGAGTACAAGAGTACAATTTTTGATATTTACTTCATTCACTATAGTTATAGGCAATGCTCACAGCTAATATGAGTAAAGAAAAGGGTACAGAAAAGCTTGACTTTGGTTATTTGTTCTTATAGAGAGTATTTGATCTGCATGTTGTGTGAACAGGTTAATGTAGAGTCACCCCTGTTTAGTAAATACAGTTGTAATTGTTGTTTGTATGAAAGCAGCCATTCAGTTACACTGCAAAGTAGGACTTCTTAGTGAGATTTTAATTAGTCTTTTTTGGTTTTTCATGTAAAAATATAAAAAACAATTTAGAAAATAATAAATGAAAACAAGACAAATTTACTTCAGAAGCAACACTGCATAAGATATTAAGACTTGTTTTC